AAGGTCAGCCATGGTAAAACACGCCACCTCAAAACCGCAGAGGGACACAACACCTCGCTCGGGGAGGCGGGGGCTGGGGAACGACGAACGAAGCCAGCCGGAACTCGCTGCCTACCGCCGGGATAACCGAGCTCGCCCAGCTCGGACACCCTCGGAGGGAAGCAGCTCAGTTATCAGGCTGTCACAACAGCTCTCACCACCAAGGAGATAGCTGCCGGTAGCAACAAACCGCGCTGGGGTCGCTCTGCCGAGTGACCGTGACGCTGGCGGTGCTGGCACCACCTCGCAGCGCCTTCTCCACGGCCTCGGTGCTTCTCCTCCTGCTCCTCCTGCTCCTCCGGCTCCCCGGAGCCCGCACACGTCGGGCGCGGCCCCGCGGTGCCGGCACAGCGCTCACCTTGCTCTGCCAGGCGGGGCCCGGCCCGGCGTCGGGCGCGGCGGCAGCGACTCCCACCGAGTCCATCGGGCACGCAGGGGCGGGCGGCGGCAGCAGCGGGCTCTCTCCGCGGGGCAGCAACGCTCCCACTGCGAAACCTTCCGGGTCCTCCGCGGTTCCCCGCGGCCGTCAGGCGGCCCATTGGCCGGGGGTGACCCGCCTTTCCGGTGATGTCACCGGGGCGGCCGCGGCCTCGCCGGCGGCGTGCGGAGCCTGCCGGCGGAACCCCCGCCCGGCCGCCCCTGCCCGGGGCTGAGGGACTGCGCCGGGCTGGCGGTAACGCGAAAGGGAGAAATTTAATATCTGACGTTTGTTTTTTGCCTCGGGAAGTAACCAAGGGTACGGTGGGAAGAAAAAAACTCCAACAAATCAAACAGTAAGCCAGCGGCAAAACAAACGGATGAAATGCAGGGTGGTGATGGAGTCACCATTCCTGGAGGTGTTTAAGGAAAGATGGGATGTGGCACTCGGAACACATGGTCTAGACCACTTGGTGTTTGGTCATAGACTGGACTCAGTCTCAGAGGTCTTTTCCAACCTAATTGATTCTGTGAAATGAAATAGTTGGCATTTGTTTTTATTACAGGAAGTAACTGAGGGAACAGGAAAAAAATACAACAAATTAACCAAACCATAAGCAAACACATTAATTTTATCCCAGTCCTGTAAGTCACTGTAGATATAAATTGAAATACTTTGTGTGTGACCTGCTGCCTTTTACATCTCAGTTTTATATGTAATGTTTATCTGGAACATAGTATTGTGACTAAAATGCCCTATTTCCAGGACAGCAACAATGGGATAGTGTTTTGCTACGACACATTAGGTCTACTTGGCAAGTTTCCTTAAAGGAAGGAAGCAATGCCTAGAAATCTCCTCTGGCTGGCTCGTCACAATCTGTTGAAGGTATCTGTCTGCAATCAGACAAATGTGCTGTCACAGTCACTGGTGATAATCTGAAAACCAGCCTAGGAAAGCTGGGTAGCTGCAAGGGCAGAATTGGTAAGGGGTTCTGTGGCATCCCCCATCCTGCCTGGAGTAAGTTCCCTATTTTACATCTAGCAAAGCCCGTGCTGCCAGGCAGGCCCAGTAAAGGCCATTCATATCAATTCTCAGCCATGCAAGAATCAGCTTAGTCGGCCAAAGTTCCTCTTTATTTGTCCTTAGCAACCTGCAGTGACGTAACATGATCTCCTCAGACACTGTTCCAGAGTTCATTACCCTAGAAAGTTCCCAGCTAAAAGACAGACTGTTTGGAAGAGGGTAGGGACCCAGGCTGTAACACACAATCTGCAGGCATGACACAGGCTTGTGCCACGAAGGCATTTTAGGATCATAGAATCATTTAGGTTGTAAAAGACCTTTAAGATCATCAGGTTCAATGGTTACCACAGCGCTGCCAAATGCTGGCGAGAGTGGCTTTGTGTGTGGTGCAGTACCAGCATGTTTCTTATCCTCTCTGCACTTAGCCCTGGTGAAAAGAGATTATTTCTTTTGCTTTGCAGCTGCCTTTTGGGGTATGAAGATTACTGTCATGCTCCCCTCTATCTTCTTTGTCTAAAATTAACAGTTTTATATATGAGCAGAATATCAAAGCAATGTCCTGCTGCCTGGGAAAAATCATTATTCTTGCACAGTTGCACAAGCACTGATTAAGAAAATGAGTTTTGGTAGGTTTTGATTCAGAAAGAACAGTAACTAAATATTCTTATGTCTTGTTATTCAGTTTTTAAGTTTTTTAAGTTTTCAAAAATAAGTCTTCTACTTTAGTCTCTTAAATATTTCCTGATTAGGCATTGATCCCATGACCTCTCGTATGAATGGATAAAGCTTTGAACTGAATTGTGTTAAAAAGAAATGTTCTGTGAAATTATGTGTAAACAAAATAATTTGCGACACATTCATACCTCCCAATAAAAATAGTTAAAAATCTAGATAGAGCAGGAACTTCCCTTCATATTATCAAAATAATTCCAAAGCTGCATAGTGATTACTTTGTATCTAATACAAGTCAGTCCTGATAAACAACATTAGCAGAAATTTACATCTTCATCACTGCAAGTGGCATACAAGAATTCAAACCTGCCTCTTTATTTGGCTGTAAGAAAATATATCATCTTTGCCCAAGTCTCCCACTTGTACTAAGAAATACTGCAAAAAGCTCAGAGATATCACTGTAATATTTGGTATGAAAGTGATACCCCACTGTAACAAAAAGTCAAAAGTACTCTTACTGCATGCTTACATTAGTCTTTGTCGATATCCGTAAACTTTACTTACTCTTTTTTAAAGCTTTACAGGCTGAATTTGTGGCACAATGCAAAGTGTGCCTTTGTTTGCCAAATACCCATTTGACATTTGTACATAAACAGATGCTCTGCTAAGTGGAAATGCTGTATCACTCACCCTGCCATCTCTAACACGTCCATTACAGTGGCTCATCAGTGATCTCTGTGAGCCTGGATGGACCAAACATTTCAGCACTGGAAATTGATGTCTGTGTTGGGCCACTGCCTTACAACCAGATAGGATCATGTCTGATGCACCAAAATACTTGAATTTACCTTGGTGCAGGTCAGCTGTTCAGCTGTTGCACTCTATTGACCTTGTCTGTTGAGCATAAATGTAGCAGGTTAGACAGGCTCATTTTATGACCTGGATTTGCCCACTTAGTGCCTCCCTCCCTCCTGCCCTAGTTTAAGCCATGCTCATAAATAAAGTTCCTTATTTATGCTGCTTTGCTCTGTCCTCTAAAAAGAGGGTGTACATGCACAGAGAGTGCTCTGTACTTTGTGTTACCTAAACAAAGTCAAGGTAAGAACTGCAAAGATAGGGCCTTGCTAATACCAGGAGTGGGAAAAACAAGGCTTACCTATCGTTGATAATAAAAGATCACCCAGTAACCGAAGGTAAGAACTGCAAAGATAGGGCCTTGCTAATACCAGGAGTGGGAAAAACAAGGCTTACCTAGGCCATAATAAAAATCACCCAGTAACCATGACCTGACAGGGCGTTTCTTTTCACCTGCCTGGGATATTTATAGTTCACACATCACCAGTGAATCATAGAATCATAAAATAGTTGGCTGGAAGGGGCCTTTAAAGTTAGCCATCTAGTCCAGCCCCCTGCAATAAGCAGGGGCTTCTTGTCCTGAATGTGAGTTTCAGACAAAATTTATTAGGGAAGCCCTCCCATTGAGCCATGAGGTGCAGAAAGGACCCCCTTTCTTCATAAATTCCTGCTCAGAGAGGAGCCAAGGTACAGCTGAATTCAGTCTTAGCCTCAGACTGTCAGTGGTTTAAGTTTAAGAAACTATAGAGGTGTGATTGAACTTTTGTACAACTTTGTCCTGTAGGATAAATGATGGCAAACCAGATCTATTTGTATAAAAATGAATGATATATTATGATAAATTATTAGACAAAGAGATCTTACTGAGAATTACTTACTACGCACTATAGAAGAAAAATCTACTGGGATAGAATGGTACAGTGCACTCTATCAAAGCAACAATATTGAAACAATTCTATTAAAACTAGCAGAAAGAAATAGTTATTAAAGCAGAGATTGATGTTATTCACCCATGCCAATGACCATGGGCAAAATCTCTTTCACTCAGCTGTAAGGAATAACTTTGAGGGGTGTCCCCACCCAAAGGAGGAATCTTCATGTACACTCCAAGAAGGAAGATGTGAGAAGAACCTAACCATATGGAAATGGATTGGACTTTTATAGTGTACAGTGACTGACTGTCAGTCATATACCTCCAGGTCAGCTTAGCATCCTGTCTGCCAAATCTTTACCTCACGGTCAGGATGCTAATTTGGGGTTAATGGGTCAGACTGGTGTTGTCATAATTCAACACCATAACCAGCTTGATGCCCTCTCTCAGTCCACCTAATAGCCTTGTAAATAAGGCATTGTCCAAGTTGCTTGACCACATTCCAGGGCAGGGTATCCTGCTAAACGTCTTCAACTAGACCAGGTTGCTCTGAGCCCCGTCCAGCCTGGTTTTGGCCACCTCTAGGGATGGTGTATCCATCACCTGTTCCTGCGTCTCACCACCCTCGCTGTAAAAAAATACCTTCCTTACATCTAGTCTAAATCCGCCCTCTTTCAGTCTAAAGCTATTCCCCCTACAACTACATGCCCATGTAAAAAGTCCCTTTGCAGCTCTCTTGCAGGTCCTCTTTAGGTACTAAAAGGTGTAAGGTGCCTCCAGAGCGTTCTCTTCTCCGCGCTCAACATCCCGAACTCTCTCAGCCTGTCTCCACAGGAGCGGTGCTCCAGCCCTCTGATGATCTTTGCCTCCCTCCTCTGGCGTTGCTTCAGCCGGTCTTTCCCATGCCTAGTGCCTGGGAGCTGGGCGCAGCACTCCCGGTGCGGTCTCACAAGGGCAGAGGAGGGGGGACAATGTCCTCGCTCCCCGGCCGGTCACGGTTCGGCCGCTGCCTCCTGGGCCGCGGCTGTGCCCGGGCTGCGGCGCTGCCGGCCGCTCCGGCC